AACCTCGATGTAGACCTTACGCACAACTTACGCACCTACTGCCAACCATCGACAGTGTTCGTGACCGAAATGTGACGTGTCTGGTTCTTTGATTACATAGCTTGGATTTGGGACCCAACAATAGGGTTAATCAATGATGTCCGAGCTCACCGAGTACATTTTCCGGCAGCCGCTCTCTCGCGAGCTTTCGTTCTTAGGTTTGTTTATTTGGTCTTCCCCATCAGATTATATAACCATCACATATTTAGTTCTCCTCCTGAGTACGATAGCATCGCGAGACGAGCGGCTGCTTTTAGGAGCCTGAGATCAACGCAATGTTTTATCTAAGTGATTTAGGTAGATTAGTACTTAATATTACAGCCGTTTGCATTCCGTGAACACCGAAAATTCTTTTTTTGGGCGTGACGTGACTTACCTGCCCAAAAAAGTCATTTTCCCGCGCTTTGATAACGCAATGGCGTGAAGAGTTACATTCATGACACCTTCGCTACCTGACAATCTGGAGCTACATACTTATGGTTGCTTTGTACATTGGAGAGGGGTTAAATAAAGACCTGGTCCACTGTTTTATCAGGCATGTATGAAAAGTCATGCACCAAGGCTGAGAATATGGTAAAGTATAACTAATCCTTTGACAAAAAGGACCAGTATACCTTCCATAATTGAGGAGGGATATTTTAAATACATTTCCGCCAGTCGAAACGCGAAAGAACGAGGTGCAGGACCGTCTGAACTTTTGAAAAGAGCAAGGTAAAGCTGTGCTTAATCAGGTGACTAGTCACGTCACACCCAGAAAAAGAATTTTCGGTGTTCACGGAATTATGCAAACGGCTGTAATTAATACTGATAAGAATGATCCGAGATAACACCGACAACTTTAAACTGCTCTGTTTTGTGCCAGGCGCAGGCTCCTAAAAGCAGCCGCTCGTCTCGCGATGCTATCGTACTCAGGAGGAGAACTAAATATGTGATGGTTATATAATCTGATGGGGAAGACCAAATAAACAAACCTAAGAACGAAAGCTCGCGAGAGAGCGGCTGCCGGAAAATGTACTCGGTGAGCTCGGACATCATTGATTAACCCTATTGTTGGGTCCCAAATCCAAGCTATGTAATCAAAGAACCAGACACGTCACATTTCGGTCACGAACACTGTCGATGGTTGGCAGTAGGTGCGTAAGTTGTGCGTA